AGAGGGAGAAGCAGACCCCCTGCTGAGCAGGGAGCCCGATGTGGGACTCGATCCCGGGACTCCAGGATCATGACCTGAGCCGAAAGCAGTCGCTCAACCAACTGAGCCACCCAAGCGCCCTTAAGATAGCTTTTAATGTTGATTTCAATTACTTCTACTTCAGCTGTTTGTTCAGACCCCAACCATGCTTTGTGATTCAGCACAAACACAAATAATATCCTTTAACTGTCCTTTACATCACCCTCTCCGCCATTCCCTGCTGCCCACTCCCGGCTGTGTTCTAACGACACTGGGCCCATACCTTTCTCATAGCACATATTCTAATTATTTTTGTCTTCCCTTCTAGATTGTGAGATCTTACTTTATTCATCGTCATATATTCAGGACCAACATAAGTAGTGCCTTATACCCTTAAGAAACACTTGCTGAACTGAATTGGGAAAAAAGGAGCCTTGGACTGTTTCACTTTAATGATACTGTTGCTAATGATGATGATAATAACACCAACAAATACTACACAGCTCTTAATGTGTGCTGGGTACCATCCTAAGAATTGTACATATATTACCTCATTTAATCTTTCAACTACTGTATCAGGTAGGTTTTATTTTAAGTAGAGAGCAGTAATAACAGTTAAGAGTTATGGAGCTAAATTACTGTGCCATGGATTATTATCTCACATAATCTTCAAAACCACTCTCATGAAGGGTATTAATAATTACTCCCATTTTACAGAAAAGGAAGTGCTTGTGTTTTAAGTAACCTACTCAAGGTCATGTAATTATTTAGTGACTGAGGATTTGAATCTCAGTAGGCAACTGCAGAGCCCACACACTTAGCCATCATACCCAGACTTTTCAAATTGTGGGTGGCAACCCCTGAAATCAATTTAGGGAGCTGCAATTAGCATTGTTTTATAATGAGACACACTAGAACAGCAACAAAAAAAAATCTGACTACTTCACATACCATTAAAGTGAATACTGTTTTGTAAAAACTTTTATTTCGTGTCTATACAAATGACAAGTGTGAACATAAATGCACATGTTGCAAAATATATTTCTCATCGTGAGTCATTGTCAAAGTGTTTTAAAAACCACTACAGTAAAACACATTGGGTTATAAATTTTAAAACAAAAAGAAGCAATGGGTCTAATTGACCAAAAGTATCTCCTTCAGCATGCCTGCCCTCTGGGAGTCTGGTCATACATCAGACCTCTGCAAAAGAAGAGAAGGCTCTGTCAACTTCTCCATATTCCTGCTGGCTTTGACTGGGGCAAAGAACACAGAAGACAGTTCATCGGCTTTCCGATGAGATCCAGCTGAAAAATGAGATGGTTTTCGCCCTATACTGGCAGGGCCCAGGATGATGATACATTCATCACAAGGATAGCCTTAAGAGTGGAAGTTACTGGAAAGCAACTTGAAGGACTTTTAAATTATTGATGCTGCCCAGAACAGAATGGGTTACATTAGGAGAATTTTTCTAAAGACTTGGCAGATCTTTGATGGGAGAAACTTAAGCATCCAGCAGGATTAAAATGGATGATCTCGAATTTGTCTTGCAACCCCTGAGATTTCACGATTTGAATAAAATACAGTGAAAAACATTTTAAATGACAGAGCCATCTCTTATCTAATCAAATTAATTTCATTCTGCACACTGGTTTAACATTTCTCTGAAAATCCTTTTTGAAAACTTTATATTTGTTTGGGGTTCCCCCCCCCCCCCCGGTGGGATGAACATTTCAAGACTACTAAATGTTAACTCTCAAGTTCCAAAAAACAAATCATACAACAGTTTATTTGCTCTCATTAGAACACTCCCACATCCGGTTGGAATTTCTTTGATTACGAAAATCCTTGATTCTAGTTGGATTTAATCTCTTCTCCGTCATCCTGATCCACATCCATTTCCCATATTCCCTAATCAGCTGACAGAAATACCTCCAGCGCAAACTGAGATGGTTAAGTAACACGAAAACCTGTTTTCCTCCCCCAGGCACGTTCTCTCCACAACCACAGGGTCCAGCGCCCCCTGCAGGCGGAGATCGAAAGGAAATGGCTCCCTTAGCCGTAGCAACGGTTTCTGTGTACAGCGCGGCCGAGAACGGCAGGGGTGAGGGGCCGGCCAGGAACCCGGAGCTCTACCGTCAACCCAACGGTCAGGGGGCACTTTAGGACCCTCTGAAATTGCTCCCCACTCCCCGGTTTGGTCTCCAGGACTAGAGGCCGCCGGCAGACCCCGGCAACCCCCGTGTTGCGACCCTGGCCCAACATCCGCCACCCTCCGCCACAGTAAACTAAAGCCCCCGGTTTCTCCGTCCCATAACCGGCTTCCTCAGTCGAATCCGACCGTGCATTTGCTTCTCGGGGCCCGCTTTTCACCCCAGCTCCCGAAGGGAACTGCGATGGGAGATGTAATTTACTCCTGGCCGGCAGGTACTCACCTGGTTCCCAGACGCCACTCGGCGCCGCGGACGTGACCACTGCACAATTTACCACCGACGCCGCAGGTGCCGAGATCGGGGCGTGTCGCCCCGCCTCAGCCCCCACTGGTGAGAGGCTGACCGCCGGGGGCGGGACCACAGCCTCTGCGGATGATTGGCTGGCCCTCGACTTGCTACCTCGCTGATAGGCCTCACACAGCCCATGCTCTCCCGCACAGAGGACCCGTTTCCCAGAGTTAAAACGCCGTTACTGTTCTGGATTGTTATACTACCCGCAAGATAAATTGATAACTACTCCAACTTAATTATAGAAATAGAATTAAACGTTCGGAATATCTAAAATGCAACCCAGACTTAGCTCCTTCCCTTTACATAGAAGAGTAAATGAAAGACAAGGTTCCCTCTTCCTTTGTATGCATTCAACATCTTCGGAGTGGTGGTTATGAGACACCGTACGGGGCACTGGGATACAAAGGCAAATAAGACGTAATACAATTCAGATGAATAAAACAGTAGAGATTGTTGGGGGAATGTATTTTACTTTTACAATTTCAGATTAATGTCTGGTACATAATAGGAACTCAATGTTATTTTCCTTCCCTTTGCACTTAAATTAGATCTACGTCCTTTAGCAGTCACTGACAGTGGTAAAAACACTGATAGCGGTAAAACTTCTGCTGCAAATATGACTGACTATATTTTTATTATTTCCATTGCCAATGCCAGAGAATGCTAAATTTGCACCTTTATAGGCACAGATTTGAACTTCAGAGTAAACCTTAGTTTGCTTTGTCAGCATCACATGCCCCAGTCCATGTAAAGTCACTTCATACCTCATTCCAGCCAGCAAACTTCACTCAAAACTATGTCCTAGGTTTAAAACACTGACTACTGTAAATTGACATAGTTTTACTTCCAGCACAGGAGGAAATCCTTTAAATATTTGGGGAAATGGTTGTAATTCCGCATACTCTGTAATTTTCTTTTCATTCATACTCAATATTTTGTTCTGGTTATTAATTATGTATATATACATTTATGCTTAATTAAAAAGTAGGGTAAAAAGCAACTTGAAGGGGATAGACTATGTAGGCAAATGAAAATTACCACTATCATCTTCATAGAGGTAAGACATTGCATCCAAGAAACAAGGATAGGTATGTGTTAGTTTTTCTTCGAATGTATACATTCCAATACATTCAAATATAGAGAAAAAATAAGCTTATACAAATTAAAATTACACCAGAATGAAAATTACTATGGATTAGAAAGTAAAATTAAAGAAATCTTCCAAAGAGCAAAGGAAAAAAAAAAAAGGAAAAGGAAAGATGAGAAAGGTCAATGAAGTCTAACATTTTTTTAAAAAAGATCTGGAGAAAAGAGAATATTGAAGGTAGGAAGTTATTAAACAATTCAAGAGGGGCCGCCTGGATGGCTCAATTGGTTGAGCATCCTACTCTTGGTTTCAGGGCAGGTGGTGATCTCATGGGCCCTGAGACCCTGCCCAGCACAGGGCTTTGTGCTCAGCCAGGAGTCAGCTTGAAGATTTTCTTTCTGCCCTCCAATTGCACACTCATGCACGCGCTCTCTCAAATAAAAAATAAATCAAGAAAATTTCCCAGAATTGAAGAGCTTGACTTTCCAGATTGAAAGGACCCACCAAGTACCCAGAACAGTGGAAAACAGCCCCATGCTAAGGCACATACTGTAAAATTTCAGTACACTGGCAAAGAGAATCCTACATTTCCAGAGAAAAAATGAAAAAGAATTAGGAATAAGAATCTCAACAATACTGGGGAGGTGGATGGGGGCACCTGGGTGGCTCAGTCAGTTAAGAATCTGCCTTTGGCTCAGGTCATGATCTCAGGGTCCTGGGATCAAGCCCCACATTGGCCTCCCTGCTCAGCGGGGAGTCCACTTCTCCCTCTGTCCCTCCCAGTGCGGCCCCCCCCCCATGCACTCGAGCATGCTCTTTCAAATAAGTAAAATCTTAAAAAATACTGGAAGCTAGGAGACTATGAAACAATCCTTCAGAATTCTGATGCTGGTTAAGAACAACACAAAAGGTCATTTCAGGCAGAGAGAAAAGCATGAGAAAGGCACAGGTAAGAAAGAAATAAGGACTGTTACCTGCTTAAAGAACTGCAAACATCTCCTTGGAACCAAAAGATTAAGTGAGAGGTGGGTTGAAGTGGTGACAGAGATAGAAAAGGAGTCAAATATACTATTCCAATACTTTTGGCTTTATCAAAATGGAGAGCCACTGAGGATTTTCAGGACAGTGCCATGAAATCCGTATTTCTGAAACAGCAATCTGAAGAGGATGGAGACAGCAAGGCTGGAAACTGGGAGACTGATCTTGAAACTAATCATGTGTGGAAAATAATACAGCAATGGTGATAATAATAAACACTGATTAGGCTAAGAGTTTTTATGGATTCATTTTATTTTGCAACTAACCTGTGAGGTGGGTGCCATTATTTCATGCCCACCTTACAAATGAGGAAAGTGAATCCTGGTGAAGTCACACTGTTAACAAAAGACACTGTGGATATTTGTTTTTTTTGTTTTTTTGTTTTTTTTAAATATTTATTTATTTGACAGAGAAAGACACAGCGAGAGAGGGAACACAAACGGGGAGTGGGAGAGGGAGAAGCAGACTCCCTGCCGAGCAGGGAGCCCGATGCGGGGCTCCATCCCGGGACTCCAGGATCATGACCCGAGCCGAAGGCAGTCGCTTAACCAACTGAGCCACTCAGGCGCCCGACACTGTGGATATTTGAACCCAAAGCCTTTCACTTAAGTCCATACTGTTTACTGAGCTCTTAAAATGATAGCCAATCCATCAATAAGTCCCGTTGGCTCAACTTCAAAATGTTATCTTACAACCAGCCACTTCTTAGTCCCTCCACTGCTACCACTCTAGCCTGCCATTATCGTTATCCTGAACTATTACAGGTGGTCCTTAACTGGCTTCCCCATCCATTACCCATCCATCCCTACATTATCCATTCTCACAGAACAGCTCAAGTAATCTTTTTTTTTTTTTTTTAAGATTTTGTTTGACAGAGAGAGACACAGCGAGAGAGGGTACACAAGCAGGGGGAGTGGGAGAGGGAAAAGCAGGCTTCCCGCGGAGCAGGGAGCCTGATGCAGGGCTTGATCCCAAGACCCTGGGATCATGACCTGAGCCTAAAGCAGATGCTTAACGATTGAGCCACCCATGTGCCCCCAGCTCAAGTAATCTTGTCTTAAATCATGTTACTGTCCTGTTTACTCCCATCACAAGACCATACATAAGCAGGCCTCTGCCTAACTCAAAGTTTGAGCCACATGGGCTTCATTCTAAAGTGGGAACATCCACCCCGAGACATTACAATGGCTATTTCCTCAATTTCAGGAATGCTCCTTCCCCTTGTCTTACTATCTCATCCTTCAGCCTTCTGCTCAAATAACCACTCCCTCTTGACTAATTTTCTGCACAGAACTTATTCTAGGAAGGGTGGGGATATCCATGTATTTGTATATGTGAGGAGACAACTTGTTTTTACATTTTCTCAACTTATATAATTTAGTCTTAAGACTGGCCTTTTTTTTTTTTTTTTTTAAAGATTTTTAAGTAATCTCTACACCCAACATGGGGCTCGAACTCACAACCCCGAGGATCAAGAGTTGCATGCTCTACCGACTAAGCCAGCCAGACTCCTAAGACTGGCTTTTTTTTTTTTTTTTTTTTTTGGAGACACACACACACACACACACACACAAACACAGTGGAGGGTGAGGTGTGCAGAGGGAGAGAGAGAACCTTCATCTCACAACCCTGGGTTCATGACCTGAGCCAAAATCAAGAGTCCAACGCTTAACTGACTGAGCCACCAAGGAGCCCCAAGATTGGCCATTTCTGATTTCATCTACTATTTTTACATTTTTCACAACTTTAATCTCGAGATAACTTCAGAGCCTCAAAGCACCATATTGACCATCATAAATTCCTCCACTTTGACAATGAAGTTGAAGTTAAAAGAAATGAACTGGCTAGTCACTGAGTAGCAGGGCTGGATTTGAATCAATTTCCATGCTTTTCTCATGGACATGCATGTCCATAGTCATTGGTAAGCAGTTTAAGTACGGGACAAGTTATGTGGTAACTCTAAGCTCAGATTTGCTGATATTTATACTTACAGAACACTATTTGAAAGTCTTTTTTTTTTTTTAAGATTTGTTTTTATTTATTTTTGAGAGAGAGAGGGTGTGTACAGAGGGGAGGGGCAGAGGGAGAGGGAGAGGGTCTCTGCATTCAGTGCAGAGCCTGACACGGGGCTCGAGCCCACGACCCTGAGATCACGACCTGAGCTGAAACTAAAGACTTGGGACACTTAACCGACTGTGCCACCCAGGCACCCCCAAAACCATCTTTTAAAGCAATTTTGTACCTATTTTACCTTTTTTTCTTGAAACTGTCCAGGGAGGCAAGAGGTAAAATGGCTTCCATTTTTATAGATGTAAGGGACACAAAGAGGGGACTAGTTGAAATGCTGGTCTTAAGTTCCAGTGGTAATGCTTTTTCCACTAAACCACTGTCTAGTTAACCAAATAATATTCAATTAAATTAATGATACATAAAAGAACTATGATCAAAACAGCTAAGAGGAACATTATCCGAAGTGTTAGGATTTGTTTAGGGGACTGTCCTATCATATTTATTGGGACTCTTTTGTCTGAAAAAGACAAGGTCAAGAAGGAACAGAGCAGAATTACAAAATTATGAAAGGTATGGCTAAAGGAAAACCTGGACCTAGGAGGCACTCTTTAAAAATTTGAGCATGGGGGGCACCTGGGTGGCTCATTTGTTAAGCGTCTGCCTTCAGCTCAGGTCATGATCTCAGGGTCCTGGGATCGAGCCCTGCATCGGGTTCCCTGCTCAATGGGAAGCCTGCTTCTCCCTCTCCCACTCCCCCTGCTTGTGTTCCCTCTCTCGCTGTCTGTCCAATAAAATCTTTAAAAAATAAATAAATAAAAATCTGAGCATGGTAGTACTTTGTATAGCACTTAAAAAATTTATAGAACTTAGTATTCAAGGATGTTAATAGAAATATAGGTGCTTTTTTAAAATGGCACTTAATTTTTTGAATGTCAGAGACACACATAGCTAATAGTGAAGATGGAATATATCTAATCTTCAAAATGAATGTCAGATGACATCCCATAATGATGGAATCCTGGAACAAATGGGAGTATTCGAGTATCCATATCCCTAAGATCAAGGCAAAAGGGCAAAAGTTTTAAATGTTTATCCATAGGTCAGTGTAAACAAGTCCATATATATATATCTTTATATATCCTGAAAGCAGAATTTTTTACCTTAATGATTATACCTCAGAAACTACACCTGCCTTAATAATCTGCTTCATCCACTTTACTTAGGGTTGATTTTGCCTTACAGATGCAACCATTAAAGTTTCTTTTTCCTCACCCAAGATTTAAAATATAGTCAAGCCTTATATATACATACAGAAGGCCTATATCAAGTAAAATGAAAATTTTAACACAAAATAATGCATGCATGCACATTGGTATACTCAATACAAAATGATGCTGGAGAGTTTACAGTTGGTGATGTAAAACAGTAGTTTCCAAGGAACTTACTTAATCAGACCTTCACAGGGCCCTAGAAAACTTCATTTTTAACAAGAATCCCAAAAGATTCTAGGCCTTAATTAAGTGTGCTTTAGGGAAGCACTTTAAACTTTCACTCTGTCAGATTACATATACAATAAAAGTAAATTATAAATCATGTAATTGAACAAAAAACTTTTCTTTATAGAAACTATTAAATAGATATCTAAATACAAGATGGATTTTAAAATGAAATGTTATTTGTATTTGTAAAGATATATACACTAATCAAAAGCTATACATTAACAGCAAACCCAAGTACAAATGAAGATAATCCTCTGAATTCCATGTTTCATCGAGCATCAAAAACCACCACTGTTTTAAAATGAGTTAAGGACAAAAACATATTTTAAAATTACATGAAAGATTTAACACTTCCAAGTCACTTTCTCTTTGCAATAAGCTAGTTATTTAGCTACAATGCACAAAAGAATGGAACTCAGTATTTACTATGACAACTGGAAATAAAAAAAAAAAAAGGTTTCAATTTTTATTAGTCCCCTTTCCATGATACAAAAGACCAATGCACCAAAAAACACTGAAACCATGTTAGCAAGGTAACTTACTGGTTTAAAAAATACTGTATTATTAATTACCATGTAACAATGTACTTTGTCTTTCAGCTAATTTGTAAGCCTCACTTTATCCATTAAGTAGCATTCATACACAGTATTTGTATTTCTACTTGTATAATTTAGTTTGTCCATCAACTCAAACTCAAGAAGGACTATACGTAAAATAAGTTAAATACCGATCCTGAAAAATAGACTTATGAGAACTAAAATCAACTAGTATTTAAATATTTAGTATATGCCTCTTCACTGCATTTTTATTATGAAAATAAAAATAAAATGATTATGAAAATCCTAATCATGCCTTTTTGGTAAGTAGTCTAAAAGTTATTACCTTTTTTTTTAATCAGAAATTAGTCTTTGACTAACAACCCAAGCATTATTCTTCACTTCCACCTACTTCATATTTAGCAAGTTACAAGGATACATCTTTTAGTCCTTTTCTTGTACATTATTCTGTATCCACATTCTCTGCATCTGATTGGATCCCTGGATTTTATTTCATTTTCTGTGTGACATTCTAAAAAAAGAAAGTATGGTCATTCAATGTCTAAAGGGCAAATAGGACAGACAAGCAAATTATCTTAACTGTATTTTTTACCCAAAGCACTAAAATGTACTCAATCTCAAGAGTATGGTGCCATGACCATGTTGAAAAGAAAACCACAGGACCCAAATGGCCTCACTTAGGTTAAGATGCCAAGTCCGTAAACCTAGTAAACCAAGACTTAACACTTAACCTAACTGCGGTTTCAACCATTCAGAAATATAACCCCTGACCACTCAACATGGGAATTTCCTTGTCAGCATTAGGAAATTTACTGTTTTTTGGTTCCTCTTAGAAAGGCAACCTTACCTAAAACAATGGAGTCTTTGCTAATAATTTCCTTTTTTCCCACTCCTCTCTACCTTTAAAAACCTTTCCTTTTCTGTAGCCTTTTGGAGCTCCCATCTACTTGCTAGGCAGGACGCTGCCTGATTCATGAATCCATTAATAAAGCCTATCACACCTTTAAAATGTACTCAGTTGAACTTTTATTATTTAACAACAATATACTAAGGAGGACGAGTTCTTAATAAGATTTTTTTTTTTTTTACAGTTGCTAGTATTCTGCTTTATAACTTTAAAGATGACTCATTCAAGCCAAAGTTAAATGTAATTATTTCAAAACTCTGAAGTAAAACACTCCTACTTTATGTAAGTTCTACTCTTACCTCCGCAGATATATATCATCGGCTGCTGCTTCGGGGGTTGAACGTCCTTTTGGGTGTCCATTGATAGTCCCTGAAATCACAGACTTAAATCTTTAATATCTTAAAAGGGCTCCTCACAAATACAACCAGGCCTCATTTTTCTCAGGGAAACCTAAAAAAGTCCCAATTCCTAACGTGTACTTTTTCAAACCCTATGGGTAGAGCTAAAGGACGACAACGTATTGCGCACTTACCCCCACACTAGACACAGTAACATTTTACACATATAATGTCATTTTAATCTTTACAACAATCGTAGGAGTTATTACCCTTACTTTACAGATGAAGAAACCCAGCCCTTTGGAAGTCAATTTGCGTAGGGTTATTCAGCTATTAAGAGATAGGGGCACTGGGATCTGACGGCAAAGCTCGCGTTCCCATTTAACAGAAGTCCTACTGCTCCAAAATTCAGCAGAAAGCAATAAATTATATCCCTCAACAAGGGAACATGCGAACCGAAAATAAGGGGAGAATAACTCCCCAAAGCCAAAGAGCTAACCTGAACGAAACCGGGCAAAGGAATAACACCATCCACTCAACCCCCAGCTTCTCCCAATTCTAACCCCATACCGGACCTTTTAACCTTGAGGGTCTTACCAATTTGGGTCCAGATACCCACCTCTAAATACAACCAGCCAATTCCCTACCCACGTAGCCCCCAGAAACTAAGTACTCTGAAGTTCGCGGCGGATTAGGGCTCCTCGTTGTGTCTCAACCAACTTCCGGCGCTGGCATATGACGCCTATAGTCCCCGCCTCTTCCGCCCCCCGGGCGTGGCCGAGGAATCCGGATTGTACACAAGCGGTAAAGCCGGGAATTTTGTATGTTAGGCTCTGTGGAGAAAAATTCGTGTTTCGCCCCAGCTTATTTCATTTTTCAGAATAGCAAAGCATTTCAATAGTTCCTCAAATCGGAGGGAGTCTGCTTTTCTAACTAATGAAGTCAGTAGAAAGTAAACTTTTCCAGGAGGGCTGAGGGTTAGGAGAGAAAGCGAAATGACAAGTGCCCCTGGAATCCTAGGCTAACCGTTCCTCGGAGGAACACAGAAGCAGCGACTGCATCACTGATTTTCACTTTAAAAAGCACTTTTCAGATTATGTTTTTCCTATTGTTTGATACCTGTGCTGGGCCAGTGGAGCAGCCGCCCCCTATCCTTCATATAATTTCATTTTTGCTTTTTGAACCTTTCGTAGGCTCCTGTTGTCCCTCTGACCCACTCCTTTTGATTGTTTTAAAGCAAAGGCTGGGGCGCCTGGATGGCGCAGTTGGTTAAGCCTGCAACTCTTGCTTTTGGGGTTGGTTTGTTTTTTTGAAAGATTTTATTTATTCAGGAGAGAGAG